GTTTCCAATCTGCTGGTTTTCCATGTAGATCCCAACACGTGTCCTCTTTATGTTTCGTTTTCCGGCAGTGTTCACACCAAGGTCGACCTTTTTGTTGTTTTGAGTTTGGCCCACTAGTTGACCCTTTTGAATAAAAGCCCACTGCTCCAGGCCCAATATTAGAGTAACTGGGCCCATCATTAATTTTACCCTCTTTGTGAAAATAAGGTGGCCCATCTTTAACATTTTGAGGAGGCCCATTAACTTGTAACTTATGACCCATTACATTTAGGCCAGAAGCTTCGAGCCCAATCCTAGCAGCTACACCACTGATCCCGTTCATCATCACTTTCCGGCGATTCTCTTCTCCTGACTTCGGCGAAGACTTCTTGCGGCAACGGTAAGGGTTTTTGACTGAGTATCTTACCTCAAACATCATCTAATTCACGATTAAGCCTAGCCAAAAATTCAAAAACCCTTTCATTTTCCAATTTTTTCCTGTAGTACACGCTGTCCTTTGGGCACTTCCATTTTTCTTCAGAATTCGAGTCTAATTCTTGCCATAAAGCCGTCATCTCAAGGTAATAATCAATTACCTCGCGTTCTCCCTGCTTGATTTGCCACAGCCTAGATTTAATTTCGAAAATTTGGGAAAAATTTTCAGTGTCGGAGTACATCTCCCTCACAGCTTCCCAGACGTCCTTCGCGGTGGGTAAGAACAGGTACGTTTTTCCAATTGCTGGTTTCATGGAATTGACGAGCCACGCAGTCACCATGGAGTTCTTCGATCGCCATTTTCGAAGAAGAATGGTGTCGGTTGAGGTTGGCATTTTCGTCTCACCTGTGAGGTACTCAAGTTTTCCTTTTCCATCCACTATTAGTTTGATTGACCGTGCCCATTCTCTGTAATTCTTCCTGTCTAATTTCTCTATCGTGAGTTGGACAACAAAGGTGATTTCTGCATCGCTATTAATAGACTCAGATGTTATTGAGCCCCTGTTATTGGCTGTAGTGTCTGTCATCTTCCTCTCTCTGATACCATGTAGAAGATGAGAACGAGACTAGGGAAAGATATTTTATATTCTTTTTCGTTACTTCTATGTACAATGAATAAGCCCTTTTATAGTACACAAAGAATACATAAAAAAGGAAAAATAAATCTCCTACAATCTCTAACAATCATAATATTCTATCTATAGAAACTAGAATCAACATTAATCTCCCTCAATAAATTGTGGATTTCATCATGTTTAATAGTGTTGAGGTACTGATCAACACTCATTGCTCCCTTTCTAGTTCTCTGAAGTTCACTGACAAGGAAGGTGACCCTTGATCGATTCATGGCTCCAAAACTTTCTTGGACAGCATTCCAGAATTCTAAAGACTTAGATGATTCCCATGACTCTCATTGTAATTTCTGGTATCATTGAGAAGTACAACCAATCCATCAATAGTTGATCTGTTGACATCCAAGTTCCATACTCAGGATTCGGGGCCATTTCTACTGTGACCCCGGTTGAGCCAGTGGTTTTGTAGCTAGGAACTCAGTTGGGCAGCTTCTGGTTCTAGTGATGAAACCTTCGAGGTTGTGACCTTTGATGATTGGCATCACCATATTTTTCCATAATAGAAAATTGTTTCTATCGAGTCTTATTGGTGGAACTTGAGTAAGGCTAATTCCAGGAGTTTGTGTAACGCTCCAAAATTTCATACATCTTGAGGTGTTACCAAAAATTAATTTCATTTACTTTTATTTACTTAAAATGCATAACGATAAAATTCTTTAATAAACAAAATATTGGAACATACATACGTTTAAATTTGAATCATAAAATC